AACATAATGATAAACCTTGTGGGCACTGACTGCTCTTTCCAGGCGTCTTCTCCAGTAAGCAAAGCACTTGATTTCCTTATGTAGCAATTCCACCTATCTTTTTGGTATCTGGTGCCCTGGGGTGGGGATCACTCAACTTTCCTCCCACTAGAGTTGGACGTCATCTCTCCCCCTCTGTGCACCCAGCCCTTCATCTCCCTTGGACACTTCGGTCTTGAATTCCTTCTGTGGTATCTCACTTCCTAGCCTGAGATCTCCTGATGGGCAGGAGTTGGCATCAACTTCTGAAGCCCAGCATCTGGGACACAATCAATAAACACTGAATAGAATTAATTTCCTATCCACCCTTGGTTTAATTTCTCTACCATAAGAACTAAACTCTCCCCAAGCCTGCCAATTTGTCCCCAAGCAGCGCCGGGACCCAGCAAGACCTTTGGCACACAAATCCAGCAGCAGAACTTGAGGTCATGCTCTGCTGAGACTCGAACCAGGGCCATGTATGCTCACTGCGGACGAGGCCAGCTGAGCTGAGAGATCTAATAACAAGAAGTAATAACAAGAGCAGGGCAGGGCGGTCCTCGGACGGCGCTGCACATCCGACCTGCCTTCCAACCCTCGCAACAATCCCGGTCGAAGGCATTTTTCTCTTCGGTGACAGGCGACGCAGTCAGGAGAGAGCTGGAGACCCATGTCTGCTGGGACCGAGGAAGGCCTCGAACTCGGGTCGCCAATCCCACTGCAGAGACGCTAGGGCGCCAGGAGAGTGAAGGTGGCGGGGAGCAGAGTTCACTCGTTCCACCCAGTCCTGCCACTGGGACCTCCGACCCCGGGGGGTCGCGCGCACCCCCGCCCCCTGCCCTGCGCCATCTTGGAGCGCCGCTCCGGACCGCCCCGAACCGCTGCTTCAGTGAGTACTCACCTACACTGCCCGGGGCCAGGCCCCCTGCCACCTCCGCGACCCCCGCCACGGTCACGAGAAGGAGCAGCGTGCCTCGCAGCGAGGCCCGGACTGTCGCCATGACCGGGCCGGGCGGGTCGCGGACCGCAGGATGCTCGGACCCAGCCGGGCCGCCACCGCTGCTCGTGCGAGGCCCCGCCCCTGCCTTCTGTGCCCCTCTGGTGATTGGCTGCGATGCGCTCAAGACCCGCCCTCCAGACGCAGAGAGTTTCTAAAAACTCCTGCGGGCGGGAACGTGCCGGGACCCCGGCTCTTTGTTAAGACCCAGCTGTGTGTCAGCATCTGCAGTCTATCTCCGCAGCCGGCGTTCAGGCGGAGAGTGAGCAGGATGCCGCAGGTGGAAGGCTCTAGAATTCCCCTACAGCCTCCAGAGTTTACAAATGTGGATACGGACGCCCCAAGAAGATGACTTGTCCCAGACCTGCAAGAACTAGGGCCAACACTAAACCACAGGGAACTTTCCCTTCACATACTCTCGGTGATGTGCTTTGTTTTCTGTCTACTGAGATGCTGTCTTATACTAACAGAAAGGCGTGTCAAGACAGGGCAACGTGCCTTTCCCAAGATGAAGGGCTCCTCCTGACATGACAAGGGCTGGAGGCACGAATTCACTCCCAAACCTCATATCCACCTGAAGCCTCCCTCATTATGCCTTTGAAATTTTATTAGGCATCCTTGGGAAAGGAAGAGAGGAAGACACGGACTATCCAATGGAGTTTACACTTCGTTCATGAGACCAATTTGGAGATTAATTTTATGAAACAATGCATATGAGTGATCGCCTGAAACACAATGTATGAATGAAGGAATGTGTGAAAAACAGTGTGCATGAGTGATACACAATGCGTAGGAATTTTGTACGCAAATCAGTACGTTGTTGTGTGCCATTGACTCTGAATGACCCATCACTGACCCTCCCACGGGTTTTCCGAGGCAGTAGTAATCGCAGGAGAGGAGATTGCACAAATCTTCTCCCACGAAGCTGCTGGCATTTTCGAACTGCGTGCCTTTGGCATTGCAGCACAGCTTCTTACGACTAGGCCACCAGAGCTCCCTACAAACCAACATGTGTATGTAGAGGAAGGAAAAAAAAATTATATATATATATATGTATGTATGTATATATAAATTTGGTGATGAATCCCTATCCACTTTTACCCTCTGAGCTTCACCATCCTATCCCTACCCCACCTCAGGCAGCACAGAGCAAGTGCTATTGTGGAAAATGCTTGGGAGTTGAGGTGGCCCCTAGCTATGACAACTAATGTTTCCTTTCTAGTTCCTTTTTTCTATTCCCTTTAAAAAATTATAATAATAATAAAACAGTTTAAAATGCCAATTTTTAAATATCTTTAAGTATCCAGGCAGTATTCATGTCTTCCCCTATTGTCTCATTTCTTTTTATAGTTTGTGTTTATGCAAATCAAGTTCCAAACAAAGTCTGTGTACTGAAATTGGTTTATATGTCTCTTACTGTTTGTTTTCTCTTCCAAACTTACAAAATGAAAACATGAACACTTTACAGTGACCTTCCTAAAATCCTGCTCTGATGACAACTGTCTGCTTCAAACTCTCTGAGAGGTCATCTCTTACAGGATAGAGTGATATGTAATTATCTTATTAACACAGTGTTTTTAGCAAATGGACTCAATCACCCTCTTCATTTCCTCTTCACATGCTCATGTGTCCTTTAAGAACCTCTTATTTTGTTATTCTAAACCTTGTAGTTGCTCTTAATTATCTGTCACCATATATATACTTCTTTGTCCAGAATTTCCCCCACCCCAGTTCTTAAGGTAAAAACTGAGGGCACTAAAGTGGTTGCTGTGGGCCTAATTGTACCACAGAAGGATCTGAGCAGAAAATGTGCCCTGGATAAAGTGACCAAAACATCACATCCTGGTGTGTCTGAGATCGTCATGGTCTTAATGCAGAAAGTCCTGCGTCTCAGGAGCTCCCTGAGTCCTGAACAAAATAGGCCCCTGTGTAAGGGAGCTTTGGTGGCCTAATGGCAAAAAGCTCTGCTACAGTCCCGAACGCACACAGTTCAAGGCCGCCAAATGCTCCACAGGAGAGGAATGAGCAATCTCCTCCTGTGGGATTAACTGCCTCTGAAAACCCGCCAGAGGGTCAGCTATGGGTCGGTTCTGACTCTACCATACACAACAACAACAGCTCTGTGTATCTCAGAAAAATGTCATAAGGATGGCCTGTAAAGGGGCTTTTAAATGGAAAAATGAAATCAAACAGGTAATAAAAATCTCTCTTGAAGTAAGTAAATACAGGAATGTGTTTACCATTAGTTCTCTAATGATATAAGGACATCTACTTAGCAATCATTGGCTCTCTGAAAAAGAGAATGAAGGAGGAAAAGGATTAATCAAGTGCTGTTCCATTATTATAAAACTACAATTCATTGCTGTTGAGTCAGAACCAACTCATAGGTGATGGGGGAAATTGCCCATTTTTCTCTGTAGAGCCACTGGTGAAATTGAATAGGCAGAGAATTATGGCCTTTGGCTTAACAGTACAACTCCCTACTGACCACATCCACAAAGCTCCCCTGTTGACTCACAGAGATGACACCTAAGGCCTTAAGTGGAGAGAAAATGATTGACTACTTGGTGATTTCTTAGCTATGTAGTCAGGGATGACTTTATTGCCAGATAATACTTGTGAGATAGGAGAGCAAACTTGCTCTGTAAATGAATCCAATGTAATAATGGTGAAGCTGGGTGTCTCTCTGAGGAAAGAGTGGTTATTTCTATACTGTGAGATTATGATTGGGATAGACATGTTAGAAGAATAGTTGAAATCTGAGCTGTGGTAATGAAGTATTTTAAGACTGAATCCCCTGAGATTGTCTTGCTATAAGAATTGCTGACCAGGCACTATTATCCTGAGGGATGTCTCATAATAGGACCCTTCTGTTTGGGTTACATACTCAGCATTGAAAGTCCCTCAGAATAGGTTTTCAACCAGGCAGAGAAGGTGACCACTTCAGGTTTTTTAGCAGAAGTTTGACTGAGGAAATGATGCCTCACTGAAGCCAGTGGAGGCTGCTGATCATTTTCTCTGCCAACCCTAGCCCTGCTGAGGGTGTGAATTTTGTGGGGTTAGGACACGTTTTGGCTATTCTTCCCAGGATATTTTGATCACTGTATTATTTACGCAACACCTGTACATTTCAGAAAGGGAGGAAGTAGCTATTTGTCCAGTTCCTGTAAGTCTTGGAAATAAAGAGGGGGCTATCACTGTTTGTCTGCCTCCTGTCAGCTTCAGGAAGACAGAAAAACTGATGGGAAATGGCTTAGTTTGGGAGCTTGTTCAGGGCCTTAGGGTAGGATCATCTGAAGAGTGTTCAGCTATACTTATACACCTTCTTGACTAAATATTCTCTAGGCCATTATACAAAAAATCAGAACCTCTGTTATTGTTGTTGTTAGGTGCTGCTGAGTTGACTACAACTCATAGCGACCACCACTGAGTGAATTCCAACTCATAGTATCCCTCCTTTGAGTTTCCAAGGCTGTAAATATTCATAGGGAGTCTGTATATCTCCTCCCTGAGAAACAGTTGCTGTTGTTTTGTCCTGAAAGGAGCTTGGTGTCAGGCACCTGGGCAGGATGAGAAAAACCCAGAGAGAGGGCAGCTGAGGACTTTGGAGGTATGGCTTCAAAAGAAGGGAGCTCATGTCATTAATCACCCTGGGTTTGTTTTTTTTTAATTTTGTTGTTAATCTAGTATAATAGATTAAAAGCGAAATTTTTAAAAATATGATGATTTTGAAAACCTTCATATAAGGATCTTACCCAGACAGATAGAACGCCAAATCTATTGCTATTGTTAGGTATTGTTGAGTCAAGTACGACACATAGAGACCGTATGAACAACATCTGAACTCTGTCCTATCCTGTGCCATCCTCACACTTTTTGACACATTGGAGCCCATTGCAGCAGTCACCATATCAATCCACCTGGTTGAGGGTCTTCCTCTCCTTTGTTGACCCTCTACCTTTTGGAGCATCATGTCCCTCTCCAAGGAATGGCCCCTCCTAGCAACATGTCTGAAGTATGTGAGGTGAAGCCTCATCATCTTTGCCTCCAAAGAGCACACTGGCTGCATCCTCTCCAAGATGTAGTTGTTTGTTGCATGTTGTCCATGCAACACTTTTCTCCAACACCACAGCTGAAAGGCATCAATTCTTCTTCTGTCATCTTTATTCATTGTCCATTTCTTAGATGTGTAGCAAGTGATAAAAAAGACCATGGCCTGAATCAGACATGCCTTAGTCCTCAAGCTGACATCATTACTCCTCAAGAATTTGGAGAGGTCCCTAACTGCAGACTTTCCCAGGTGACTCTTGAATAGTTGAAACATAGCTAGTCTAAATTGAGGTATGATGAAACCAGACTTTAAAAACTAAGTGTAAAAAAATATAAATAATAAAATGAATTTCACTTGCTACTCCAAAATTTTTTAATGTGGATATTATAAATCTATATCTGTTATCCTTATTTTCTGGGGTTTTCTGTGCAGAAATCCTGTTTCTAGCCTGTCATCTTGTTCTATTTTGCTGATAATGACAAATTGAAGAGGATTAGTGTCACATTCACCACCAAAAAAGAACATTTCAAGATCTATCTTAAAGTATAATGCTGTGAATGATAGGATACTATCTATATGTATACAAGGAAGATTTTTTAATACAACTAATATTCAAATAAATATACATACCAATAACTAAAGCCGAAGGAGAAGAAACCAACTTATACCAATTTTTTTTTTACTAGTAGGCCACACCTGATTTATACCAATTTTTGCACCCTGAAATTGATTGGACATGCAGTCAAGATGCATTAATAATAATAGTTGACTGGAACATAAAAGTTGGAAAAAAGACAGACTATTGTTGCTGGACGCCATTGAGTTTGTACAATTCATAGCATTCCATGAACAACGGACCTGAACCCTTTCCTATTTCATGCCATCCTCATCGTCTCTGATACACTTAAGCTCAGTTCTTCAGTCACTGTGTCAATCTATCCTGTTGAGAGGTCTTCTTCTCTTTCATTGACCCTCCATAGTACCAAGCTTGATGTCTCTTTCTAAGGAT